GAAAAGACTTTGTGATTACCGTACAAATCACGTTTTCCGAAAAATTGTAATATTTATGATCGAAGCCGCCGTCAGGATGTCCCGGGTTCACATCGTTTCATAAAAAAATACTACCTTCATAATTAACTGGAATAAACCTTATCCAACAATTTTAAGATTCATAAAATGAGATTGTTTGAACATTTGAACGACCAGGTAAGAAATTTATTTTAAACGTAGACCTGGCATGCTGTCCATTGTTGGCATTTGAAGTTCTCTTACGCACTTTGTCAGTCTAGCACCGCTTAGAACGGTCTCATCAGATGTTCGGTGATACTTTGTAGGCGTTCGTTGCACTTCAGCACAGAAAGTAATGGCCTTACCCGTGTGTGTGTCTGTCTGTCGCGTCCTTCATCACATTGTTGTAGTTTCATCAGTGTGAAAAAAAGGTAATTTTTGAGCAAACTGGGAAGCGAGGTTATTATTACATAACAATGTTGCAATGACCTTAGATTTCAGCAGTGGCCTTGGTTAAAATTGTTGACTTTCGTATCATTGTTGCATTGGTTATTATAATACCTTGATTTCCGTGCTGTCTTTCCCCATGATATGGCGTGAAGAACACCTTTAGAATTATTGTGTACTCCGAAGAGTAAGTAATGGTAAAGGACACCTCAGTTCACAGTTTCATTTGGGACGAAATTCAGCAAAAACGCCTTGCTGTGAACTGTGCTTTATTAAGTGTTTAAGTCATTAATTTCCGTACAGCTAATCAGAGTTATCGAGCAAACCACGGTTTAATTTCGTCTGATTTAAGCGCCTTCTTTGCAACCAATCCGAGGCCCGTGTAGTTCCCCGTTTCAGCTGCAGCTGAGGAGAAAATTTGCAGCTGCAATAAAGACAAAGATTCAGTATCTCCTAACGGAGCGAATAAAATTAGACTCCCCTGTTGTACGTTCGCTAATTGTGAACTACGTCAAATTATTACCGTTTCCCCTTCCCCTCCTCCGGCACGCTGTCAGTTATATCTGAGACAGGCGCCACCAGAGTTTATGTTTATTTAGAAGCACGCTGGTTCGTATCTCTAATCACAACATTTAAAAAGGAACATGAAAATGTACTGCATGATTTAATTTTCAATTCATCTATTCATCCATCTTATTTTTCCGCCATTTTTCTGTGTTTCTTTCTCGCCGCTTTCTTTCTGGTTTATTTTCACTTTTCCTTCTTGTCTACTTTCCTCTTTCATTACATCTTCCTTTCGCATTTCCTTTCATACTTTCTATCTTTATCTTCTCGTTTCAATTCTTTCTTTCTTTCTTTACACTTCTTTGCTTATTTCTCTCGATTAATCAGACTCGCTGTTTACAGTCAGAATTAATGTAGTGGCCAGCAATTACCCTAAAATCACACGACCCGCTTTTCTCAACGAGAAACGACGAAACAGAACTTCGCTTCACTTTAATCTTAATCCGTATACAAACTTAGGAGGTGGGAGGTAAAAAGCCAAAATATCAACAACACAAACGATAATTATCCGATGTTGTAGGATAATCATGCGTGAAAAGTGAAATTCTTCAGCTGTTCTGACGGACAGCGGTAACGAGCCTTATCGATTCTCGTTCGGTGAAAGCAAGCATCTCCAATTTGTACCTGGCTACGACTTACAACCACGCGTCGCGATCATCTGGGCAGATATCAGCGGCTCTGGGCTGTCGTATATCGTGCGCTATATTAATTGTCGTCTATACGTGTGCTTTGTGGCGTTCACAAGTCAGAACCAAAGCGTTCTATCTACCTGCGGCGACAGGGGACAACTGGTTCATCCTAACAGCTACAAACAGTCACTGTGGAGTGCAGAAGGCTGTTAGCACTTATGCTTCGTATTTGGACGTATCCGGTTTGAATCCCGGTCATCAGACAGGCTATATCAGGCTGGAGATTTTTTTTAAATTTCTTTACGCAAATATTAAAATAGTTTCTTAAAAAATTTAAACAGCTGCTTTCCTGGAAATTTTTTTCCAAAGACACTGTTCAAAAACATCCCTCTCGCTTCAAATTCTACAATTCATCTACATTATAGAGCGTCGATAAACCAACAAGAACACAGAAATAAACTCCATCTCGAGGACAAGTTAAGCATTTCACTTTATGATTACATCTAAGACAAATATGGACAGAATTCCTTCAGAAGCTGATGACTGCCCTCAGCCATCTGGTCCGGAAATTCACCGCGTTTTATGGAACCAAATGGTTCCTTAGCATAAAACATGAAGCTCATTATTAGACAGTTTTCTCCAGACTCCTATGACCTCCTCTTTCTTAGATCAAAATATTCCTTAAAATTACAATATTACGTCCCAGTTGATTAATCATTGATAAATTCATTAATTGGTCCAAAGGACACACGGACACCCATAGATAAACAGGAATCTTACTCATTCTAATTTCCTTTGTCCCTTTGAAGCCGAAGCTCGTCTACATAATACTCTTTAAGAATCCAGTCCGTACCGCAAAGAAAACACATAGCTTCGCCATTACGAGATAATGTGGTTAACGCTGTTTAAGAAAATAATCACTGTTTATTCTGAGAAGATGTTAGCAAATAAATACAAAATTCAGAGTTAATGGTTGTTTCAGCAAGTGGGACATACAGTTACCACCGGTATTTTAAGAAAAATGGTGTAGTTGCGTCATATTGTGATTTATTAAATTAAAATTAAATTATTTGGTTATTCCGTCAAATCACAATGTATTTAAAATAAGATAATTAAAATAATTAAAATATCATTCTGTGTTCCATATCGAATAATCGATTTACAATTGGAACAGTTACAACATGTTTCGGTTTTATTAAACCATCATCAGGAGTAAAATTATATTAAATTTAAAACTCAATTACAATTTTTTACAATTTTTCGTAGTGTAGTTTTTTGGAGGTCGTGTCCAGATACTACTTTAAATGTGATGACACTGGACATGAATCACTGTTGAATTACAGAATCCATGTGAACGGTTCAGCTGTTGAGGTCAGACCTCTTGACTCTCCAAGTCTTCCCTTGCCGGGGGCAATGATAATATCAATAACTTTCGCTAGGAAGCCGCATAAATCAAATGCGACAACTTGAATATCCCTTGTGTGTTCGTCACCACTGACAGTCCTTCGCAAACAACAGGACTACACGCATCTAGACATTCAGTAATGTACCTTGAATCTGTAGGTCAGATGATGTTCAGTTAAGTGAAAAGTGGCTTTAATTCCAATGGAAAAAGTATCCTCACACGTCTTCTGTGTAGATACGCAGCAGTGGCACACAGAAACGTAATTTGTACTAAATTTCTTCCATATTCGTACATGACGCAACATTCCAGATGATAGCCTTTTTCCACGGCAAATTTCGACTGTAATCTTCATGTAATCAAAAATATTCCACTCGTGTACATTTTTGTGACTTGTTTTATAAGACGTTATTTTCGCTTTAGAAAATGTCTCCTACGAATACATAGCATACTGGTCTGATCTGATGATGATTTATTAAGTAAAAACGCAAAGTAGATAGTTGAACTAAACAAGGACTCGATTAAACAGGCGAATAAAACATGTGATCTACTCCTCACCAAACAGACTGTTACAGCTACGAAGACAGTTAACAGGATAGAAAACCGTGAGATTTTAGGTTCTAACTGCGGCTGACACGAAGATGACAGTCTTCTGGGATGTTGCGCCGTGTTGTATGGTAGAAATTTAAACACGTTTCGGTGGTGTTTATAGCTCCCATCATCAGGGCGATGATGGAAGCAGTAAGCACTATGAAACGTCTATCAGCTTCTAGCAGATAATCCGGAGCAACGTCCCAGACATCTTCAGGATTGAAAATGTAGCACGCATGAGAGAGAGAAACGTGAAATGTCTGGGAGATGCAAAGCAGTTACGTATCTAAAAACTTTTTTATTTGTGCCTGGGTAACTTTAATTTGTATCTCAAACTACTTGTATAAAGGTTTTATAAAAAATACAAGACATCTGTGGCCCTTCCAATGTCTTTGCTAATGTATGAAATTTATCACATGTACCCCCTGATGATGTTACATATCGTTCTTTGGGGGTAGCAACCCCCGATCAGAACCGGTGGTATAATTAAGTCATAATTCCTAACTTTATGGTATAAATGGCAGAACCTGAAGTGTTCATCACTGGTTATTTTGGAACAATCTGTTGTTAATACATAGGCCTATGAGGATAGCATGGTGGCAAATAGGCACAGTTATTTTCGAGACTAACCTTCAACTTTCATATGTGACTGAATGTGTGTGTGTGTGTGTGTGTATGACCTCCATACCATCGGGTCATCAGTCACCTCATCCACACTCCACATCTATTAGATTTGTCAGTTCACCCACAAACTGTTATTAATTGAACGAAACACGAACGAAGCTTTGGATTCCGAATTTGTTTCGTTCTCAGTACGGAGTTAAAGTTAGTGCAAGTGTGTCCTAAGCTTCAAGAACGAAACGCAGAATATTCTGGATATTTCAGTGAGGGACTTGGTCTCTTGCGCCCTCCTCATTCCCCGAACATGATCATGAACCAAACCATATTCTTTAATATTTAAATTTTTATAAATCTCGATCTGTCAAGTTGGCATTTTCCAGAATGTCTTCATGTGACCTGAATATCCAGCGTGTTTGCGTTCAATTAGCCTATAAAATGGCGCTTATAAATCTGATATTAAGATAAAATTTGTAAGAATTAGTATAGATGACAGGATAATATTAAAACAGTTCTTGAACAGATAAGTCGTATGTGAACGCTTCGTTATTTCCATCAGTACCTCCAGACAGGTTAAGTAGGCCTCGACCGCTTCGTTTCCAATTTGTAACTCACCGTTCATCCTATTATTCGACGACACTTTGCAGTCTCAGAACTGAAAGCGTCGTTGAATAAACCACAAGTAAATATAAGTTATGTTTCGTTACTGACAGCGTATCTCGGCGGCTGACAGACAAAATGTTACCACTTACCAGTTTCTCTGTCGCTGTGGTCCTCAGAAGTGTTGGGCGAATCGCCGTACCTTTCCAGGTACAGGGGCACCCGGGGACCCACCAACAGCTCCTCCCCCGCTCCCACATCGCTTGACGTATCGAAGAATACCTGTTGACAGGTGACCACAGAAAACACTCTTCAAGTTTACTGTATGTATAGGCCCGGCCATATCGAGATACCCTCACATTTAAAGGCGTGTGAATTACGTAAATTATGTGAAGTTAATTAGAGGGTTTAATAAATGTTTCGAACATTTCATGTCGGAATTTTCCTGTATTACACTTGTGGGTTTCGTTTGACCCTTATCACTGGACCTTCAACATGTTTTCCTCCTGTAACCACATGAGGAATCATATCAAGACTTCTTAAGTTACCGCCACTTCGCAGAGTCCACACTTATCGCGAAAAACTGAAACAGTAAAAAACCACGTGTTTTTTATAACTGATATAGTACAATACATTTGAAGATGGCCGTCTTTGGGTTGTAGCGCTACAACCTAGAACACAGCCATATTCGTCCTCGCAGCCGTGAGAACCTGAAATACTACAACACATGTGCTTTTACATCTGATACAGTACGGAGTTTCTGCCACTGTTACAAAAGTCTGATAAAGGTGAATCAGACTAGACGAATGTAATAGGTCCAGGTACTAATTAGAAACCAATATCTTGGATAATAGCAGGTAGCTGTGGAGTACTGTGTCACGTGACATCACTCTTACTTGCGTCACATGCACCGCAGCAGTTTGCGTGATAGTTCGTTGAATCTGCGGTCGTCTCAGGATCAAACGAGGGTCTTTTGTCAGGGGTTTAGAAAGCCGAGAAAGTCTGAGTACGTATGAATGTTACTTGATTGGAGTTGTCTATCAAACTGGAGGGTGTCAGTCCCGATGACCGCGTGGACAGCTCAGTGGCGAACCGCGAGTTCGATTTTCGGTAACTTTGAAACGTTTCTCTTTAAGCCAATTGGCAGTTGCCAACGGCTCTGAAACCCTTTTGGATGGAGCTTATAATGACGTAGATTCAGCGCTCTGGTTAAGGTTAACACACCCTCGTGTTTAGTGTCTGATTATTTAAAGTGACGTGGTCATATGTACCACTTAATTCAACGTTCAGATTTACTCGGTATTATATCCACAAAGTATATTTGATTAGTTTCGTTCTCAAAATAAACATGAATAGTTTTCTTAAATTTATGTCCGAAAGAGAGACAAGGTGTTTTCTTTGAGGTAGGACCGTAAGTGTTAAGTGTTACTGTAATGAGCTTTTTGCTTCAAAGAGTTTGGCTAATTGGGCCAGCGTTTGAGTAGCGCGTATAGACCTAATATTTATATCAAGTCGCTATAGAGGAACAGTTTGTACTGTGGCGACGTTGTGGTCAGCCCTGACCATATTTCGAGGGTGGCGCATCATATGATTGTGTGTCTTGGAGTCGTTAGAAGAGCCGCACAATTATTATTTTATCAGCAGTCGTCAGACAATAATCACGATACGCGTCACAGGTTGTTCCAAAATTCAGGTCTCTTTTAGTCTCAGGTCTCTGCTTACAGGATGTATGCCATTTCTGTTATTTATTTTCCGATTAGGTTAGGTTAAGATAAGATAAAATAGGTTCTTCTTTCGAAATGCGTGGTGTGTTTTAATTATTTTACTAAAAAGAAATATAAATGTTTTATGTATCTGTCCGATGCATTGAAATTCGCAGTCCAATGGTTAGCATTTCAGCATCGTGCTCCGGAAGTCCTGATCTCGATTGGCTATCCCGAAATCTGAGTGGTTTTCATCAGTAGCTCCATGTAAACTCTGGGATATAAATAGGTAAAGGTCGTTTTTTATTCCATATTATTTCCAATCCAACATTCATCACTATTCACAAAATTTGGCGCTGTTTAACCTTTGGATCTGAATGGCAGCCACGAGGTTTTATTACCAGCATTTGTTGATCAAATATCGACAAAAACGTGTGATTCTGATGTGTAGTATCTGGACTGTTGACTGGTTCCATCAACATCTGATTAAATCAGCAGTAATGAAGTATCAAGACCAATAATGGATTAAATTCTAGACAGGCGCGTTTAGAAAATACGTAAAACCTAAATTTGATTAAAAGTAGGTACATTACACATTTCCACAAAGAATTTCCCGATATTACGAAATACATCTTCAATTTTTCATTTGACAGGCCATCGCCCTTCGGTTATTTTAAACTTCCTAGGTGTGGCTACTGCTGCTATCTGCCCGTGGCATCACTAACTAGTAGAATAGTAACAGATCTTATGAATAACAACCCTCCTATACGATCATTAAGTCCCCTTCCCAATAATAACTTCCGAGCAGTTACAATAACGATCATCAGAAGGTAAAATTGTGGCCAATTACCCCACATAGATGTTGTCTTTATGCGTGATTCAAGAGGGCGAAGTTCTGGCACTTCTGGGGCTATGCTTCTCGTAGCTGAGACGAATCACACTTTGCGTGGCTGCGCAGTGTGGGGCAAACGGCATCAGAAAACATTAGTTCCACTGTGTGGAGCTGAGTCACATTCTGCTAGGTAGAAGAAGAATCTAGAACCCCCCCCCTAGAACACCTGAAAATGTTTCTGACGGAATCAGCAAATGTGCTCAGTTAACAAATATTAACTCCATGGAGCATAGTCCGTCTTGTAAACCTGATAATCGCCAAGTTAGTCGATAAATCTCCAGTCTCTTATGGATTCAAAAGGTCCATTACCGTGTTCATAAAAGCCAGCTATTGGGTCCTATCCTAAACCAGATGTATCCAGTCCAAACCCTAATCAAAACCAAAAAGCTAACTAAGGTCGGAGTCCTAGGCAAGCTCAAGACATTGTCCCTTTCTAGGTAACACCATTCCTGCGCACGAAACAGAATCTTATAACTAAAACGGGAATTTTCTTACGCTAACGGGATATCCAAACCTTCCCGCCCTATTTTAATTATAACAGAATCCTCCCATCTGCGCACTGGTGTCTCGAATGGTATCTTCTCCTAAACGTCTAAAAGTTAATACTTGATTTAAACTCTTCACAAAGCATCGTTAAATAAGCCGAGAATCAAACTAGTAACAAGGGTCGCTGCGTCTTAGTGAAAACTAACATTACAGAAACAAGAAAAGTAAAATTATTCACGCCTCTCGAAAATAAGGAAACTCGTTAATTCAGTGCGGCGAAACACTACCTGCTCTAGCGTGTTGCATCCCTCCGTAACATGAAGGCTACATGTTCGTTTATTCTAATAACAGCTCTTACGTCATCAGATTTCTGCAGCCATAAATCCTGCATACTGTTAGCTTTGTTGGCAGGGGGGGAATACACGGAGGGTAGGCATAGGGGTGAGGGAGGGAGGGGTTGGATTGGTTAACTCGAATACTACATCACTTTCGTGTTAATAATATGAAGAGTGTTATAAAAATCTGACGTAATACAGTAACACTTGTGTTGTCCTGTTTCAGAAGGAATTAGAAGTTTTTTTTTCCTAGCTATTCTGTGATGCCAGCCAATAAAGGAAGAGATGGTAATGGCTTGTGTAATTCAGTATTGCCACTTGGCACGCATTCGTGTAGCTGCCCTCTGCCTCTTGTTGTAGAAACTACTTTGCGTGACGACTAATCTCGTCTTTTCCTTGTGTTCAAGTCTGAATAATGCCGCAGTGACAATTCCATGCTCTTGAAGCACTGAGACCCCCTAGTGAACTACCCAGTCATCCACTGGACCATATGTTGAAATATTTAAATGTAGTTCACACCTTTAAAAACTATTCACATAGGATCAACTTTAATATTATCCTCTATTCCTTGGTGCCCTATATATTGTCCAACAATAATTTAGTATGTATTTCTCGTTTTACCATAACCCCTCCCCACCGCCCAGCACGGGATTCTTCAAAATTTAATCACGCAAGCAAGTGCTAGGCTGACACGAACAGATTACGAATTACAATAAATTTACTATCAAAACATCAGAGAATTAAAGTAAAAAAAAAAATCAATGAAAGCTACACGCATCAACCAATGGCGTTTTTATGAAATAGTATTTAAAAATTGATTCTTTGGTGCGAGTGGGGGGGGGGGAGGTCTGGAAGCTTGATATCATCCCTTCAATATAATCTGCAAACGGTTTATTTTCATTAGAAGCTATATTGCCCAGTAATGAATGTATACAGTAGAATAAATTACATTCCAAGCAAGTACTTTGTTTTGTGTGTGTGTGCTGAATATGGATCAGTGGTTGTAGTGCGTGTAAAGTCCTGTGGTATATGATTATCAATATGTTTGTTCACGCGAGCCGGTCTGTATACACACACTCACGTATCGAAGACCGCCAAATAAGTTCGTATAAAAACTGCTGCAGCTTTGTTCAACAAAAGGCTTACGAGCATTACAGTAATTACAGTGCAGGCTATTGACAATGGTTGGGCTATCGGTGATTGATGTCACAGCTACTGAACTGTTGAGTGCAACATGTACCTACGTCACACCTCTTCACCCTAGCTTGTCTGTCTGTCCCTTCTGCCGTAAACATGGTCGTCAAAATTATAGAAATTGACTTAATTATCTGAAGCTCGGTACAAACTTGTCATTTAATTTCAGGTCACCGTGTGTTTTATTTTATTTTTTAAGTTGTTACAATATTTTATCCTTGCTACATGCCCAACTCATCGTTTCATGAAGCCACATCGGTGTCAGTAAGGCACGTACTTAGGTGGTTCTTGCACTGACTGTTGACAATTGCGACATTTGTGGTACCTTCTTTTTACACGAGCCTACAGATAAATGTTGTCGCTCTCAGTATGTATTTACTGCCTCTAACTGCTCATTATTTCCTAGTTCATTATTAATGTACATAAAGGAATAGTCACATGAATAACACATGCAATATTTATACCTTGTCGCTACTCCTATCCTACAAAGAGCCTTGTGTTCTCTTTCAAGATGCGCTGCCCAATTATGATTGCGAAAACTGGAATAGACTGTCGTAAAAGGATGTTCGTTCCGTTGCATTCCCAACAAATGACTTGGTTTCGTTACGTTTCCTTATATCCTCGTATGTTAGACGTCGCTTGGTTACGTTGCACAGATCTGTGACACATCCGTCATTGTTCCGTTACCTTACAGTTGTGACTTCGATCCTTTAATGAAACCATTATGTTGTTCCTTCACTTCGCCCAAATGATTAGAGTTTGTTCCATTGTTTTGCCCAACACCCAACACCTATGAATTTATTCCATTGTTTTGCCCACCGCCCATGGTTTTGTTCCGTTATTTTGCCCATCACCCATAACTTTGTTCCGCCATTTTTCTAACACCCACGACTGTTTCGTTATTTTGTCAAACACCCATAACTTTGTTCCGTTATTTTTCCAACACCCATGACTTTGTTACGTTATTTTTTAAAACACCCATGATTTTGTTCCGTTATTTTTTCATCACCCATAACTTTGTTCCGCCATTTTCCCAACACCCATGACTGTTTCGTTATTTTGTCAAACACCCATGACTTTGTTCCGTTATTTTTCCAACACCCATAACTTCGTTCCGCCATTTTCCCAACACCCATGACTGTTTCGTTATTTTGTCAAACACCCATAACTTTGTTCCGTTATTTTTCCAACACCCATGACTTTGTTACGTTATTTTTTAAAACACCCATGATTTTGTTCCGTTATTTTTTCATCACCCATAACTTTGTTCCGCCATTTTCCCAACACCCATGACTGTTTCGTTATTTTGTCAAACACCCATGACTTTGTTCCGTTATTTTTCCAACACCCATGACTTTGTTACGTTATTTTTTAAAACACCCATGATTTTGTTCCGTTATTTTTTCATCACCCATAACTTTGTTCCGCTTTCCAACATCCATGACTTTGTTACGTTATTTTGTCAAACATCCATGAATATTTTCCGTTTTATCAAACACAGATACGTATGATTTTGTTGAGAAGTGATTATAAAGGGGTGCGTAGGATAAAGCTCTCGTCGGTCCTCCTGAGTTAGTACCCCGCGTTTGTATGAAGGCACTGATACACGCTTAAGGCACAAAACCCAGGGACGTCCCTGTACCTCGCAATTCCGTTCCTTTAGTCTTCGCTGTGACATTCTACCTTATTGATACTCTCTCCGCTTTCCTTGTTCCTCAGATACAAACGACAAATGAACATCGCGAGGAATAGGAGAAAAAAGTGGCCACCTGCCATTTTCCCACCCTCAATATGTCGTTTGCATTATTATTTTTCTTCTTCTTTCCTTGACTGGATGTTATAGACCTATAAGCAGACTGGTGACAAGACGGTCTCATGCGATTTGTCTCTTGTCGTGGATGGCAATCACATGAGGCGGTCTTATCCCCCTCACCTACGCTACACATATTGATTCAAAGGTGGTACCGTCTGTATTCCGTGTGATTCAGCACGAAATCTGTGGCTGTTTGAGGTTAGCAACGCTTCTAAAATTAAATTTCGGAAATTGCTGAAACGTCATCAATAAATGTAATACAAGACCTTACTTAAGCACTTGGTAGTTAAGTGGTCGGTCACTAATCTCTTATTTTTAACAAAACATGAATGTGCTTTATTACCGTCTTGTCAAGAGTCAGCCGAATGTATTTTATCCTATGCCATTTTAAGTCAGTTAACATTTTACGTGTCAGTTACCTAAACTCCATTTTAATACCATCTACACATCAATTTTACAAATGAAACAGAGGCCTTTAAATTATAAAGCCCCAATTATAATTATTATAATAATTATTAAATCATCTTCACTTCTTCAGCACTTCATAGCCCTTGGATCATCTCACTTCCTTTATAAAAACCTTCAATTTGTAACCTTAAGCCGGTTTAGTCCTGTTCCATCTCTGGTCCGGTTGCCATCTGATCATGAACTGATATAGTGTAAAACCGGTGTATGTCCCGCGTTCTTTCGCTGATTGACAAACCTTTTATTCATAAAGAGCTTGCTACGGGGATCCACGGCGGAAATTAATAGAACAATGGTAAACAGGGCCATGTGTTGGCCTATTCATAAGACTGTCATACTAACCAAATAGCTTCGTTACGTCAACACAGTTTATTTCCATAAAACCTCAGGAGAACGAGGAATTTTCGTTTTTGGTAGTGTTGTAACGAATAGAAACCTCATCTGGCACTAGGTCCGTGTTCTGAGAAGCTTACGACGTCACGTAAGTGCCTTACATAACTCGTGGCCTACATTTTTAATGGCGTGACTCTTTTGTAGCGTGTAAAGAAGTTCATATTCTAGTTCAAAAGAAAAACAGTGCTTGTGGCTCAGAAGCGTCTTGCCAGCAGAAAGGACCCCATGAATGGGGCAATGGCGTGATGTGACTGTCATTTGTCTGTCAGTCCGTGTTTCAGGATCGCAGTTCGGTCGCCATGATTAACCTATCGACAAGACGCAGATCGACAAAAATGTTCGCTGGCGCCAGAATAAGCTAAATCTGTACATTAAAGTCTTGGCTTTGTTTATAATGTCACTTTGAAATTTGAATCAAAATATCAATAACAGAAATATTTTATTAAATGGTGGCACTGAATCAGATATCTTCGTCAGAGCATGCGTACTCACTGTAAACACACAATGTGTTATAGTTTAATTTTAGCTTTTTGAAATTAAAATGTCGTTCCAATAAAACAGTAGAAAGTTAAATCATTTATGTATTTCCAGCTAAGTACATATTGCTTATAACAAGAATCAAAATATTATCAACTTCCGGATGTTTTAATAATATTACACGTCACAAGACGAATCGTAACTCGATTTTTTTTAAATTCGCTACGTCTGTTGGCAAAATTATTCATATCATTGATTGAGCACCTCTCCATCAGTAAGTTCTGTATAGGGTGTGGAGGTATAGCTCCGTGTATTCTTAACATGGGAAATGGATGTAAGTAAATGGTCAGCATCGCTCCTTTGCCGGTTTAATCCTGAAAGTCTGAGATCCGAGTGCCTGTACAAGAAAGCTCTGACCAGTCAGGATACACCTTAGGATTCTGAATAAAATTTCTACAAATTTCTTTCAATGGAAAGTATATCGATACTATATTGCTATGATGGGGCCAGCGTGTATTTACTTTGAAACGTGCTGATAACTTGGAATGACGTAAGAAAGAGACAATAAAAGTGACAGAAGAGGACAGTGACTACGCAATAATAGTGACGTACCTGGTCATCCAATAGCAAGATGCATACATTCTGAGCCTCAGTTTGATTCGTACACCGGACGTACTTCAACCAATTACTGTCCTCGGTGGTCGCGTCTAGGAAACCCCGGTTCCCAGTTCCCCTGACTCTGACCTGCGAACAGAAGCGAAAAACAAAGTGACTTATTTTTATTTAGTGTTCTGTCTGACGACAGGTCCATATGAACAGGATCCTTCCATCCTTTTCTCGGACTGGGACCTGTTCATATACGTTCTTGGCAGATGATCCAGAAGTGGTTTGCCATTGCCTTCTTCTGTGTGTGAATGGAGTAATTGTTGGGATGCCACGGAGGAAAACTCCGTGTTGCCTAGACCACGGCCTTGCCCAACACAAGTTATAAATTCGGTCACCGCCGGGAATCGAACCCGAGACCCCAGGATTACAAGGCCAGCGTTCTAACCGCTAGACCACCGCGGCGGTCCAAAGTGACTTACCTCCTGAAAAGTCGGGGTCAGAAGTTGAAATGGTTAAAATGCCCCACACTTCACTAAAATAATTAATAAGTTAGGAAAATTATGTAAAATTATAAACCTGAGTCGCTTCCTTAATTCAAAGTATTTATACAAAAAGTCTTAACATTCAACATCACGGTGGTACTAGTACATCTTCCACATATGCGTATTTTTAGCGTCGGGAAATAAAACAAATAAATTCTAAATGCTTGGTATGCTTATCGAGGATGTCAATAATATAGGTAATTTTGTAAGGACACACCTGCACACCTGCTTACCTGTCCTTAGAAAGAAAAGTTTGCTAAGAATGGAATGAAATTGCAAATAGACCTATCAGCACGAAAATTTAATGACTTGGAAGACTGTCATTATCAGGCCTGATGTTAAATACAAAAATTAAATCGCTTGGTCACATAGGATCGGGTTAAATCAAATACCATAAGCTACGAAAAGTTCTAACTTACTGCAGCCATGGAGGGCGAATTAACTACCTAACTAACTGCATTGCTTACAGAACCCAAAGGTTCATCACCGAATTAACCAAAGCCCTCCACCGGACCAACAAAATCCAGTCTCCTTCAACTCCTATCTCCCATAGATCCCGCCTGAGATTATCCTCCCATCTACGTCTAGGTCTCCCCAGTTGCCTCTTCCCCTCAGGATTCCTAACTAATACCCGGTGCACACCTCTTGTCCCATCCATGCATGCTACATGCCCAGCCCATCTCATTCTTCTCGACTTAATTACCCTGACAATATTGGGGGAGGAGTACAGATTTTAAAGTTCGTCATTTTACACTTTTCTCCAGACCCCATCCTCTTCTCTCCGAGGCCCAAATAACCTCCTCAACGTCCTATTCTCAAACACCTGCAATCTGTGTTCCTCCCTCTGAGTGAGAGACCATGTTTCGCACCCATACAAAACAACAGGCAAAATTATTGTTAATAAACAGAAAAAATACATATCCTATAACCACAAAAAATAAACAAATCGAATGCAATATAATAAAACAAATTCTAATAGAAAACTGATATAATAATTACGAACTAAAACCCAAAAACAAAATAAAAAATGGAAACGAAAATATTCCAAACAAATGGGCCACCTTTACATACGTAGGTAAAGAAACTAAATATATATCAAAAATATTCAAAACAAATTATATAAAAGTCGCATTTAGAACCAATAATACAATATAAAACATTTTAAAACAAAACCACAATTAGATACAAAAAACCAATATAAACAACCAGGCATATATAAGTTAAAATGCAAAGATTGCCCATTAACTTATATAGGCCAAACAGGACGTACATTTAATCAAAGATACAAAGAACACATAACAGCCATAAAACACAACAAAGACAACTCAGCATACGCAAAACATATATTAAACACTGGACATGCATACAATAAAATCGAACAAACAATGGACATTATAAAAATAGTACATAATAAACGACACAGAGATACAATAAAAAAATATTACATACAACGTACACACAAACAAAATATTGCACTAAACGATAACAACAATCCCATCTTCAATACAATACAGTTCATTGACCCAACCCCGTAAAACAACTTTCTCCCTATATATACAACCAGCATCAACACACATACCGAGTCACAGATTGTCATCACCCGATAGCAGATGTAGGACACACCACACATCACAAAATTTGGTATGTTTCTTATATATTTTTACATGTATATGTTTTCTCTGTGTTTATTTTCTATGTCAATTTCCAAACTCATTTCATAATAGTAATTAGACGTTAATTTCACAGAAAATGAACATCTGACTATAGACATGCAGAACATTACGAAGACTGAAAAACCTACAAAAGAAAATCTACAAAACAAATCAATAAATAGTTGCATTGAAATATATAATAGTTTTAAAGATATAAATGACGAAAAAACCCTGAAGATGATGCAATAATAGCATCGAAACATGTCGTTAATAATAAGCGCCGAATAAATGTAACATCGCAATACGATGAAAAGCGCTATAATTTTAACAACAACATTTTAAATTAAGTTTGTGTATAGACTGGAATAATAAATACATACTTAAAATATTTTGAACTGAGAGGAGGGCGAATTAATTTAAACTTAATCACTGGGTGAGTGTGGGGGTAGTAGACGATTCCTCAGACTTTCCCCTGTCATCATCCCCTTTGTAAGCACGCCTCAGAAGTCATTACGAAAAAACTTCAGAAATGAAGTTTCCGAAAATGTTTTGGCTTGTCAGTGGTTGTTGCGGACGCCTGTGAGGAAAGGGACGGTGCTTCGAGATGAATGGACCACTGAATACATCAGAAGGGATGTAATGTGTGCGCGGCGGGGGTGAATGGGAGACGAGGTAAACGCATTATCGCACAGTTGTGTTGATGGTGGCGGAATCTATGAGGCGAGGCGTCACGCGTGGGCGACAGAGCGCGTCTCGATGATAGGAGACGAGATGCTGGATGTTACAGGTACAGCTGGCCCACAAGAAGTGCAACGTTCGTACCTCAGCACTCCGCATCCGGCCAAACTTGTCCCGCGAGTATGTTGTTCTCTCTTCCCGGAGCGAGAATGTTTCCTTCGCGTGCGGTGTGAAATAATAATAGACAAATAGGTTTTTTTTAGAACACTTAACATTTACAATCGATAGCTTGAATAATTTAGTGATGGATTTTGACAGGACTATGGTGATTCCCCGTGGAAATTGGCTGTGTCTACACTTCGATTTTTGTTAGCCGATAAGAAGTCGTACCGCAAAGGAAACACAACACTTCACCATAACAAAGATTAAATGCTTAATTCAGCCCAAGGGAATAATCGCTATTCGCATTGAGAATCTTGTGAAATGCATAAATACAAAATTAATTAAGTCGCTGGTGTTGATCGTTAAAGCAAGTAGGACGCATAGTTTGGCCTTTAAAGACTTAAGGTTGGAAAATTATCTGCATTATAAAGCGTGATCAGGGTAAGTTTTAACAAAGCTTGTCTTCTCTTTATGGATTAAGCTACTGATGGCTGTTTCGACCTGTCTTCTGCGACATTTTTGTAAGGTTCTTCGTCCGTTGATATATAACTGGATGCTGCATTCGGCGATCTGTCGGTATTCATCCCATTTCTCCATGAACAGACAGTAGTCAGCTTTCGTATTGTATGTAAACACACGTATAGATGTGGATGATGGTTTTTCTGTCAATATTTTTTAATTTTTTTTAATTATATTGTGCACAAAGGAGGAAAAAATGTTTCCGCTTACGTCATGATCGAATGAAGAACGAAACATTGGTCACTCAACCCAGTATTATGGAGCCAAAATTCCGCTAACTTCAGCTGAAAAGTAAAGATGGTCAATACAGGACGGTGTTAGAAAGAATCACGAGAAAAGGAATGAAGGAATGGAAGAAACATGTAAAAACGGGGTCTTCGTCTCTGACCCGGATCTTCGCTGGACTCTCAATAAAGGTTCCTTGTCCTGGATAGCCAATAGGAGTCTTACTCAGGAATTTTATATTCCGTTTATTTTCAAAAGAGTGTTTCTATCAGATCGCCGTTAAAAATCAATACAACTGCTTTAGTCCGCGGTAGTTGTGGCAGATAGCAGCACTTACAGCGTTCCATTCCCCCCACACTCCGTCAGGTTCGTACAACATACTCTACCGGGAATACTAGCAACTACTTCCTGCAACAAGTAGGGGAAGTGGGTGGGGTGGGGGGGGGAAATCACGCCACCTGAAGGGAAAATTAAATTTTCTTGCTGCATGAACGCTGTTTACAAAAACTAAACTCTGAATCTTAGAGTAATAAAAAATGAAGACAACACACTGAGCATTTTGTATTGATTACTGCTCTACGTGTGATTTCTTTGCAAAAAATGGCAAAACTATATTTGGTTGAATTGCCAAGATTTACTGGGTAATTTTGCCATATAGCTCTTCTCAAATGCCATAAAGGTAAATACTACGCTTTCGGTTAACAGATATATTATTTATTCACGGTATTTTATACGGTACTTTTAATTATTTTAATGTATAAGTACAAAATTTTACCACAAAATACACAAACTAGGGACTTGCCTTTAGTTAACACGCGTGCAGAGAAAAAGAACTGTGAGCTCTAATCACGTGGAGAGCTCGTAACAGATAAAATCAAGTACAGAATCTGCTTAATAGATCATAATCCGGGGCTGAAAGAAGACTATGCCGTCACGCTGCCTTCTACTGGGACAGAACTTCGCCATAAAGTGCCATTACCCCAGACGTGGTTAACACAACGCATCATTTATTCCCGCCTGAACCCAGTGTGTTACAAGACTGTATATTCAGAAGTATAGACACACATATTTTTACTTTCAAATGTTATCGTCTGTTTTAAGAAATGAGAACACAAAGTTACACCTCTGAAACGTCGGTAAATTTCTATCAGGCTACACGGCGCAAAGTACAAGAACTTAAAATCTCGCCTGTTTAGAAAGGGTTTGTAATTATGTTCGGTTGAGTTGGGTCAGGACAGGGTCGAATGGCGGATTATTATGATCACGGTCAAGAACTTTCGGGTTTTGTGACAATAAGGCATGTCTCTGCCCCGCTGAATGAACGTCCACTGCTCGTCGAAGATTCTACAGGAGTTAGTTAATACAAAATGCCGATACATGCGCACGGAACACAACAGCTAGAGGCACTGACCGTCCTTCCATCCGCATTTTACACCTTCACAAAGCGTCCAAATAAGCGTAAGGCTTCCTTATTCTTGTCAGAAGATGCAGGCATCTGTAGATTGACTATGAACAGACAGAAAGGTGCTCTATTGAGGACAAGACAGAATAGTGAGAAGCTGGAAGCTTTTCACACGATCTCTCTTTATGCAGACGTTCCACGCAGCAGGGAGCAATACTGAGCCTGCCAAATTCCTGTCGAGGCATTTCCTGCACGTTCAGTCCCTGTAAGAACCAGTGAATAACTAACCTGGGTTCGATTCCCGGCGAAAGCACAATTGTTCCGTTATCCACCTCGGCCCATCCAACCTTATAATCGGGTCTCTTTCTGGAAATGAAGTGGCCGAAGCGTGAGGCTGTCCCCGAAACTACTAAGGAGGTTAAGAGTTCATCTACCTTTACCTTCACTCCCCCCTCTCCGTCTCCATGGCGCTGTGATTAAACGCGGGCAGAGTGTAGAAAGTTCATTTTAACACTCTGTCCGATAATATCAGAATGTGTATGGGGGCGCTGATACAAGCATTCTCAGCAGGTAATGTGTCTGATAACATGGAGATACGTGTTTCGAATACCGGCTGTCCTACGTTCCTCTAGATAAATTCAGGGATAGGGTCACAAATAGGTCAATTGATGAAATATTGTGTGAAGTAAGAAAATAATTAACACGATGTCGGTCTATGACGACAAATCTAGACGAGATGGTGGCCAATTCTAAGTGATCACTCGCCATGGAATTTGGCGTCAGACACCAACAGTGTTGGTGAACGTTCGCATTGAAATATTTCGCCTAATTACATTCCACTGGCATCATCAGCGAATGGTAGAGGCTTCTCACTTTTCAAAGTATGCCAGAGGGTTAAATTGTATGTAATAGTAATGCAAAGTGAACAAGCTATTTCCTTTCAACAGTGATTCGTACATCTTACAAGACTAGTTTACCACGAGAGTGCTGAATGTTTTGGTAGCGATGTTCCGAGAATCGGTACCCTACAGTAGTTGCTGGGGGCGGCTGAAGCTGCTCTGTCTCCGCACATGGACCGCTAATCTGGTCATTATTGTTGGGTTCTCCTTGAACAGCTCGTCCCTTTCAGTGACAATAGCCCGCTGACAGTTCCATCTCGATATATTCAATACTGTGTATCGATACGTACACCCAGGATACAATTAAAATAGACTTTAGTTATACATAACTACAGTATCATGATATCCCATTTTGTTGGGAGCGTCTTATTAAACAGGGTCTACGTGTAGGGCCCTAAAACATAATAATAAGTGGCGGATTTATGTTCACATCTTTTACCACTAGGGATAAATTCCAAACTACAAAATAATTGTTATACATGAGTCTGATAAAAGTATTTCGCGCTATCGCCATGTTTGTGATTTGTAATATATAGCCTATAAAAATCTCCATATGTGTTTGTGGTCCTTCGGATCAATAATCCTTTACATTTTTCTGTTAAAAATAAAATATATCCACAGATTTCACGTGCACTACAGTATTACCTTAAGTCTTAAACGTTACTTATTTAAGACGGTTCAAATACACGTTAAACATTTATTCAGAATCCATTTTGATATTCTCCTACAGTCCAAGCCCATGTATCGCAAGGATTATTTTTAAATTTTCCAGACAAAATGTTTTACATTCTTGTTTGCCGTACGTCTGTTATGTATTTGATTATAGCAGATTCAATTGAAAATGCCATCGCATTGATTTGACAGACAGACAATCTGAAACCACTTTGAGATAAAATGTGATGCCTGTTTATTACTCTAAGAATATCTATAAAAATATTATTTAAGATAACTTTAATTAATTCGTCATATTTTTAGTTTAAATCTAAAACTTATTGACGATGGTGAAGAGTCAATTGAATAAAAATTTCCTTGGATATTATCCATCGTCTAGTAAATATAAAACGTAAAACGACGTTTCGGAGATGGGACTCTATCTCCGTCTTCAGGTTCCTACACAGTTGGGCCCACTAGATGGAGCTAATCCCTATCTCCGGAGATAATATCCAAGAAAATTTTTATTCAATATTTTTAGTTGTTTTAAACTATGCAAGCCAGTGTTAATGAACATAGATTTAATTATTATTTTACTGCGCTCTGATGATGCGTTTCCATAGCAACTGCTAGATAAGCAAATAACGCAGTGAAGTTCCGAGCTCGTTGTATGATACACTCCGAAGTGACTGATCGCCATAAAAGTTGAAAATTTTATATG